AGGCTCTTTCAAAAATGTAGACCTGCAGGAATATTTAAAACCAGTGCAATTCGTTAGTGGCGGGTTTCTCAATAACAAAAAGCATGTACCATCAGCAGAACAGGACAGAAATAAATTGAACTCTACCTTCAGTGACCATGATTCAGATGACTTCAACAAGTATGACGTCTTTAAACACTTCACCTTTGATTTCAATTTTGACAAAAAGAAGCAGGAAAATGATTTCATAGAAGGTAATCTAAAAAAGTATAATCTGAAGCAACTCAAAGAAAAGGACAAAAAGTTTTTCGAAATATATGGATTAGGGTTTAAAATTTTAAGGAAAATGGGCTATCAAGATGGCATTGGGAATAAAATAAAAACGAACATTGCTCCTATAGAAGTTCAAAAGAAGCATGTAATCTTTTTAGAAGAAAAGCCACAAGAAAATTCGAATGATTCCAGTTCTGATGTTGATTTATACACACAGGAAAGTTATATTGACATTTTTAATGAACAATTGTATAGCAAAAACTTGTGGAAAAAGAAGCATAAATATAACAACCTCTGGAGCTTTAAGAAGACAAAAAAAAGGGTTACCACGCAGTTAAAATATAACGCCTGCATTAATTCAAATTTTCATTTACACCATGATGGTGATGAATCCGATGACAGACAGGCTAGTAATTTACTAAATCTGCAAAACATGCTCATTGATCATATTAAAAATGTCATGTTCCAGTATTGCGATATCCTAAGAAAACAACAAGAGGTTGAAACTAAATTAAGGAATTACCAAAGTCCTGGTTTTCACAAGGATATTTACAAGTTGCACGTTTTAATTTTAAAAAATGTCTTAACGTATAAATACTTGCTAAATTTGCACACCACGCTAACCTACCCCTCTCTCTTTAACAACGCAACGTTTAATGAATACCTTTTTCGGGTTAAACAACATGAGCTCAAGATAGAGGAAGATGATGGTGACAATCGCGCTGATTATTCTGCTGATCATTGTGCTGATCATTGTGCTGATCATTATGCTGAGCATTATCATGATGATGATGACGATGGACACTCAGAGCGTAATCCTCACGTGTGTAACTCTCCTAAAGGGGGGAGAATCACGAAATTGATAAATATCCAACCCAATCATTTGACTAACCCATTTAACGAAGAAGGGGCAGGTGAAAAGGGAAACGAAACATATTGGGACATCAATTCTCCTAAGTCTCTCACCTTTGAAGAAAAGCTAAACAATTTATTAACAAGTAATTATAAGCTATTATGCCAAAATGAATACTTCAAAATTGCCCCAAGACTAAGCGGTGCTTCTTCACATTACATTGGAACATACAGGACGATGGATAACTTACAACACATCTTCGATTTAATAGACATTAAAAATGTCGAAATTGAAAAGGGAAGGGACCCGTTGCTCTTGAGTGACCTGTACACCTTTTTGTTCTTTATTTACGAAAATTCGCACTTCTTGTATCTGAACATCCGCGTGTCACGGTTTTTCTTGGAGTTCCTTCGCATTTATCTTCACAATAACAATGAACGAATTAAAAAGCAGTTCCTCTATGATTACAAACACGTTGAAGAAATAAGCACGGCAATTGGGGGAAATTCGAAAAATTTCTTAAATTCGGAAGGTTCGAAAAGCTCGGAAAGTTCGGAAAATTCCCAGCATCGCGAAGCGGAAAGCGAAGCAACACAAGATATACCAACCGCAAGAAATCAAAAAGTTCCCACCAGGAAACAGCCCCCACCGGACAGGAACAGCCAAAGCAACCAACCCAAGTTTAACCAAAATGATATAAAATATATAAAATGCTTAAAGAAAATTCTTCTAATCGGAGCAGAGCAAAACCGTATGATGGAATATCGAGAAATTGAAAAAAAATTTGACAACATAATATACTACACCTATGTGTACCCCGTATTGTATAGAAAAAATTTTCCAGAACTTTACAGTCATATAAAACTTCTTAAGGACGCCATCAATATAGAATATTATAAAAATATATTAACGCTTTTTATTGAAAAAAGAATAATGTCCAGTGTCGAAAACATCGAAAATGGCGAAATAGAGGAGCACACTCTACAGGACATACAAAAGAAACTATCCATTCTGTTTGATATTAACAAACAGTTTGACATTGGCTCCACCTTATCCAGATACTACACACATTCTATATGTCCGTATTTGCAAAAATTTGATCTGTCAGAAAATTATATAGAACTCATCAAATTAGCACTTATGGAAAGTATGTACAAAAAGGAAATTTTCGAAACTGTTGTAAAAAGGATAATTTGCGAATTAATTGACATAGATTTTGTGAACGACAATTTTGTGCAACGCCTTCGTAATGTTATCATACTGCACAAGTGCGTGGACGACACAATTGTCTTTCTCATCTTCAAAGTTTATTTTTTTTACAATTTTTCCAAACACGTATGTGATTATCTGAGAGAGCTTAACGCGTCATATGTACAAAAAAATGGACTAAAAAATAGTGAGCACAAAATGGAAGCTCCCTTCGCGCCAGAAAAAGACGCCCAAAGCCAGGAACAAAAGAAGCTAATGCTAACAAATAAAAAAAAAGAAATTTACGAAACCTTTAAAAAGGTGAAAGACGTTTTTGAAAGTAATTTAATGAAAGATAATTCCATAAAAAACATTATGTTCAGCATATTAAACGTGATAAAAACCTACCTATTGCAGGAGAAAATTGTTACCTTCCCCGTTGAAATGGTGCTGGACTTTGACAAAAGTAAAATCTGTTCAGATGATAATCTAAATTACTATTACTTATATAAGGATATAAAAATTCCAGTTCCTCTTTACGCCGTTCCACAAAGAATTAATAAGGTATTTGAAATAAATTACATGCCGAATGTCAGAAAAAATCACATGAGAGATGAATCAAAAAGCAGTTATGTATTTTCTGCGAAAAAATATGTCCAGGTGATGAACAAAATAGAAGATGATGTAAATCAATATAGAAGAAATTCGCAACATGACGAAAATATGAACGTAAAGAATTATATAGAAACATATTGCGTACAAAATGGTATCGTATTTTTGCAAAAAAATGATCGTAAAATAAACGGAAATGTAGTCTATTCGATTAACAATTTTTCCATATATATTAGCAACAATATTATATACCTTTATGGAAATGAAGAATGGAAACCAATCCTGTTACGCGATCTTTTGACAAAATTTTAGCAAAATTTTCATCGCACATTAAAATTGCCCCCAACAAAATTTCCAACATTATTCTCACGCACAAGTGCCTCCTTCTTTCTGGGCAACTGTGATCTGTTTTTCTCCTTTCGCATATTTATTCCCAACCACCACCACAATCGTTTAAGAAGTTTTTTTGTCGCATCCTGTGAGTGTATGCTTGTTGCACTCTTTTCTGTATCTTCCTATTTTTTTTTTTTTTAATTTGTTATATCCCCTCCTTATATTTTTTGAAGAATTCATAAAATTGTGCTCCACCTTTGTGGTAAGAAAAAAGGGAAAAACCTTCCCCACTATACCAGCATGGCGCCCCTACTTCTTTCTATAGGTGCACGTATACATATGCACCAACAAACACGGGAGTGCTTTGTCCAAGCAGTGAATGCCCCACCCCAATTTGGTTCCACTCCATTTGCTTATTTTCTTAACAACAGCCAACATGCTAAATTGCGCTCAATTATGAGGGCGAAAATTGTAGTTTCTTATTTCCTCTTCTAAATTCATGATAGTTCCATGCGCCGCTTCCACTGGAGTGGAGCCACCCGATCTATCATTTTTATCCATATAGGCAAAATTATATGCATAGGATCCGTCAAAGTGTGGGTTATTCTGTATTGCTTCGTCAGATGTGGCATTCTTTTTGGGGCGCTTACTCAACTTTTGGGAGTCATTTTTATGTGTGTTATTTATTGGGGTTGAGTACACCTCATATTTATTATTTTTCTTAACAAAAATGTTATTCTTTTTGTTTTTTGGCACATCACTTGCACTAATATTATCTTTAACAGATAAATTACTAAGGCTATTACTTCGAGAAAACTCATCATTATTAAAATATTTCCGTTTTTTCTTTTTTTCCTTCTTCCTATTGTCTACTTTTTCTTTATATTTACACTCGCGCAACCTGTTGTACTTCCGACTTTCATTAGTATCGACAAAATCGTTACACTCTATGTCGCAGTCATTTTGGTCATAAGAGACATCATATTCTTTCCATTGGTATGTATAATCGTATTCAGCCCGGTAGGGCATATATGCGGAATTTTTACTTTTTTGGTATAAAACATTCTTGCTGAATTCCGTTAAAGACCTGCTCAAAATCTTTTTATGATACAGATCACACTGCTCATTTGGAACAACCGGATTATTTTCTGCTAATTTATTGCGCTTCTTATTTAATTCACCATTGTCACAAGAGCTGTTAAGAATATTCTTTTTCCTTGTTCTTCTTTTATAGCATATTTCCTGGCTATATTTTTTCTTCTCCTCTTTAACTTCGGGCTTTTCCCTTGGTACACATAGACTTCTGTACTTCGCATTAATTTTTTGCCTCTTCACATTGGCGTTATTGGAATATATGTTGTTGTGAATTATTTTATACTTGTTAAAATTGTAAACGCTACCAGACTCCTCGGAATGGCTACACGAGTCCGAAGAGGAATCTTTACAGATAGGATGCTCATCAAATTCTATGTCATTGTTCCACTCCTTAATTTTCATTACATCATGTATATTTTCATAAATGGCCTTCTTATTAACAGTAATAATATGATCTTCACCATGTATATCTTTACAATGGCCATTCATTTGGAGTGGGCATTTATACATGTTCCTTAAGTCGCTCATGTATTTTATGAAGTCGTACCAGTCTTCTTTGATGACTCTGAAAAGGAGCATAAATAAGAACAAATTATATTGAAGAGTAACAGCCGGCGCCAAAGTAAGGCGGGGGTTTACTTATTCGTAGGATAAGCAAAGTGGTAATGCGGGATGGTTGAAACGCAACATAGGAGAAGCGCAACATAGCGGAGGTGCTTCGTGGCCGATCTGCTGATTCTTCCTTCTTACTTAAACTTGGATATCAAGTCGGGGGGCTTCTTCTTAAATCTATAGGACTTCACTTCACTCATTTTTTCTCCCACTCGCATTAGTTATAGGATGAATAAAGCGTGTGTACGTTTCACTTGGCGCGAGTCCCCTATTAATCTTTCTAATACACAGTAAGTTCCGCAGAAAAGAAAACTCACTCCTCATGGAAAAGCAGCGGCACAATTATCACATATGTAATGAGTTATCTCAATTCTCTTATGCTTAAATGAGTAAAAATTTCCGCGCAGTTAATGTGTAACAGAAATGTACTCCTGTAGTGTAACTATCCTACCAGAAATGTGCACATGCAACGGTATATATATGTATTTATGCGGATTCGTATGCAAGCGCAGCTTCTCAAGTTTACGCTAGGAAAAAAAATTGAAAAAGAAAAGTAAAAATAATTGATGCAAACGCTAACATATGCAAATCACATTTGACGAAGAAAGAACAAAACGTTTACTTAAATATGCGCTTTGAAAAAAATAGCACAAAGCGCAATTATATATACACTTCACAGTTAAGCATACTGAGAAAAAGTCCAAATTTAAATTTCATTCCTCTAAATAGATTATTTTTATGGCAAAAATTCATTTTTCCACTTAACATAGGTACCCATTTAACTTAAATATTTTCATTCTTAATTCAGCATTATTATAAATGTGATAAATCCCCCACATGAAAAAAATTCCTCTCTTTCAACTTGTGTATATTAACGATAAAAAAAAAACACTGATCATTTTTTTATCACCTGAATATCATAATATACTTTCTCATTTCCCTGCATCCTTCAAATGATAAGGAGGCTATTTTTGCCATACTTTTCCAAAGATAAAGGCCCCCCAAGAATAAGATGCCAAATAAACGGTGTAAAAAGGAAAAGATTTTTCAAAATTGTTGTGGCAAATCAAAAAGATAAGAAAAATGGAAAACACATCGAAGTCTTGGGTACATATGTAAATAAAAATAATATAAGGGAAAAATTAAACACGTATAACATCGGTAACCCGAATAATGATTACTATTATAACAATGTTGAAAATATTAAGGAAATTAGATTAAGATTTAATAGAGTTAAATTTTGGCTAGGAGCAAACTGCAACTTTAGTGATCACATGAAATACGTTTTAAGCTTATGTAAAATAATACCACAGTACCCAGTAAAATATAGCAGAAGGTGCTCGGATAAATATTACTACAAATATAACGAAATTATAAATAAACATAAACTTATACAAGCAGAAAAGATCAATAATTTCCTGAAAACAGATTTAAATATACAATACCTGAATAACTTTGACAAGACAGAAGAGAAACAAAAGGAACAGGATGATTATATATACACCCCTGAAGAACTTACATATCTTAAAAAATTATCAAAAAATAGAAACTTAGACTTTGAGCATACCGACAAAATTAGGAAAATTATTCGGTAAAAGGAGGTACGATCCGGATAACACGCTACATGAGCAGTAGTGTTAATAGAAAGGAAGCCATAATGTACAGGAATAAGACTACGTACAGGCGTGACCTTTCAGTTGCACTCACTTTCTCAATTTTCACAAAACGGATGAAAGGTCGCATAATCGCAGCTCCCTCGCCGTCCCTCATTATAAAGAATTAAATGTTTATTTTGGGAAACATTTTCCCCAAATGGTGGTTGCCCTCAACCCATGCCACAATAATAATTTTCTAATCAACTTAGACACATTTTAAAAATGTGAAAAGTGTTATTTTGCTAGGATTATTCTGTTGAATATTTTCACTTTGTTATTTCTCCCCCTCCTATGCATGTATGTTTCTATAAATATACGTCGTCTTAATTTGTCATTTATTATACAATCACAGAAATACCTACACCTTTGTGAAACTGCAATTTGTCGGTAATGCCTTTTGAATGGAAAAAGTGGAATATAATATGAAAATTATATCCCCTTTTTTTCCATTTGTGTAAACAATATGTGTATGTAATTTCTTTCTTTTTTTTTCCTGTATTTACACACATTTAACGTTTTTTTTTGTTTTTTTTTAATCCAACTTTTCCGAACTTAAAAATTCAGCGCTTCAATGAAGAGTGGACGATTACCAATCGTTGTGCTTTATTATCGCGTTTACCGTTGCTACATTTAAATAAGTAGGTTACTTCTCACATCGTAAATAAAAATAGAATTTTATGAACTCCATTCGGTTATAAATAATTCAAAAAAGGGGGGAAATAAAAATAGGAAAAAATGGCACACGATAAAGTGAATTAATTTGGTTAACTTTGTGATAATTTTTTTTTTTCTTTTCGGAAGTGTGCATTTTGGTGTGTTACAGGTATGAACAGTTCTTCCTAAAAATATGCGACATTTTGTTTTCCAAATGGTTGCTATACCTAACAGTAAATATATGGACAAAACGGTAAATAAAAACATCATGTGAGGAAACATTGTTCTGCTAAATAGACAACTTTGTGTAACAAAGAACTGTGCGACTTTAAATTGTTTTTTAACTTAATTTCCATTTGGCGCATTTTTTTCCTTTTGAAAACAATTTAACAGTCCCTTTTCGCGCTTACCACAATTCGTTGAAAAAACACCCCATGCGTCTGTTACAATTGAAGAATAGCACGTGTGCTGAATAAAAGACGATTTTTTTCCTTACTACGACGTACGCGTGCGTGTAAAAACAGCGACTGTCTCAAAGTACATTTCGCACAAGAGGAAAACAAAAATAACGACACTTGCAGTTAAATCACAAAGGCATCCACACATGAGACATACGAAATAACTCACGCATATGTGTTGCCATCCCTTGGCCCTTTCGTTTCGCCCTCGCACTTGGAAAGAAGGGCGAAACTGACACTATTAACATGGCTAACGCGGCTAACACAGTTGCAACAACTAATGCAGTTTAGTTAACTGGTAAAACCATTTCCCTCAGCTGACAACATGGACAGCCACAATAATAGCAACATTTTACGGAACTATAAGAAAAGCGTCCAAGATTTAAAAAGAGTCAAAACATCAGAATTTAATTTAAACCTGGACACAGGACCTGAAAACTACCAAAAAATGAGCCCTGCTAATGGGATAGGTAAAAACGATGCGACCTATACAATCTCACACGGTGAAATTGACATTTTTCCAAATAGTAATCACTCTCATGCGAATTCATTCTCGGATAATAGACCCTTCTTATGCGATTCCAGAACATACTACAGTAAGCACAGCAGCCACAGCAACTATAGCATCCATAAGAACCCTTTCACAGGAGTAACACATATGGGAAAGCAGAAAATAACGAAAGACAAATATGAGAGTAATATTTTCAGCGTAAAAAAAGCCCACCTAAATGTGAAAAACAAATTTGCAAGGAATAACAGTGCAACGAAATATGGAATAAATCTAAACAAATCTCTCGACAAAGTTAGCAAAATAAGAATTACGCAGAAGTTTAGAAGAAACATTCACAGCCACACCAATGAAAGGGATGAACACCGAATCGGCACCTTCGAACACAGTAACTTTTTCGAGAAAAATACTACACGGGACAACACTAAAGGCACAACTGATAGTAACAACAACATGAAGTTTAAAGATTTTTATCACAATAGATTAGACAGCGCAAGTACATGCGATAGGGAAGTAGGAACAAATGACAAAAAGGTTAACCACTACAAGATCAACTCCTTTCATGATAGCCCCCAGAATTCAATTAAAAAATGTCTAAATGAGGTAGCGAAAGAGAATGGAAAAGATATCAATTCTAATTTCCCCCGAAGTAATCAAATTAAATGCAAACCAACTGTCATTCCCTGTGGAATCATTTCGTTGAGTACAAAACACACTGCCATATTTAACGCTAAAACAGAATTTCCACTTCACTTCCCCCATATGAATCATTCTGAAAAATTAAAAAATGTAAACACCCCTCATTTGAATAACGATTCTGAATGTTACAGTCGTAATTATGCCAACGTTAAAATGGGAAACAACCCCTCTGAGCGTAATGCTTTCCAAAAAAGTAACTCCACCCAAAAACGCCACCTCACCTATGGCGTGAATCAACAGATGGAATACATCAACCTTTCATATTATTTAAGTAACCACATAGAGGGGGAAAAAAGCAAGAACCAAAAAAACAACAAAGCTGAGGACTTAAAGAGGACCAACGAGACAATTTATAATAAAAGTGCGAACTGGAACCTTTCAGTTATCCAATTCATGAATGAGTATATGGACAATAAACAGTATCTTCAAAATTTACAAAAATTTAATGACGGCCCGAAGAATAATCCTGCCGGAAAGACAAACCCATTCATTAATAATTTCAGATTGAGACACTCATTTGATATGAGCAGAAACAGCAAAGCGGTTAAAAATAATAAATCCACAAACAATAATTATTTTAAAAAATCTGTAGATGGCAAAAACACGAAATCAAAGCTGTACGAAAATTACGCAGACTTTGAAAAGGAATTCAGGGATAAAACGAATGAACAAACTGCATTTTTATTTGCTCAAAATAATTATGATGAAAAACATCATCCACATTATCCTTTTAGCAAATATAATAGCAGTGAAAGACGCACACATAGCAATATGGGTGAAAAAAACGGTGTTGTGAAAAGTAAACCACTAGAAACATGCGACGGGGGTTGTGAAAAACAAGAAATTAAAAAAGTCAGTGCACACATAATTAATATTCCCCTAAATTTCACATTAAAAAAGAAAAAATTTATAAATCATAAAAATATTATTCAAGATACATCAGGTAAGAAAGAACCTAATTACACAAACGCATTGTTAACTGACCGTTATAGGAATTTTTTAAAAACAGAAAAAGGACAAAAACAACAGAATACAAATTTTAACCATAAAGGAGAAATTTCCAATGAAGGTGAATTCCTTAGTTGTTTTTTAAAAGAGGATTTGCATGATGAACAATGTATGCATGTTGATAAATTATTTAATTCAGATATGGACGACACGATGAGCAACCAGGGGATGGAAAAACCTAAACGGGAGGGGAAAGATAAATCACACGGAAAACGAGATCATACGGATCATGATGTAGATAGTGATACTGCACAGGTTGGACATAATATCGCACACATGGAGAAGCACAAGGAAGATAATTCCACATCCTGTTTGAGTACTGACGTAGGAGGTTGCGACCAAGGGATTCATGGGCAGGGACAGATGCACAAACAACTGCGTGAAAAAAAGGCAGGATTAAAAGAAAAAAATGGCGATCATGAAAATGAAGCAGAAAAATTATCCCCAATATCACCAGAATTCGCCCAGAATCTTAGCAAAGATGGAAATTACAGCGAATATAGCAAAAAGGGGAATATGGAAACGGATGAATTCTCCCCTAGAAATATTCTAGACACGCAGAATTTGGATGAAAAAAATGGCCCACACGAAATAGAACAACAGGGCGTTAATCCATCCATTTTTGAGAAGGAAAAAAAGGAAGAAGAATGCCTCAACAAGAAAAATGGAACATGCAAAGGCAGTGATAAAGAAGAAAAAAAAAAAAAACAGCTCTACGTGCCTATTAATTCGGAAAATTTTTACGACATATATAATAGTAACACAGATAATGAGACGGCTTTAAAAAGTTGTGCAAGAAGGGGCTGCGAGGAATCACACTCACTACGGAAATCAGGCAGCATTCATAACCATGGCACGTCTGAAAGTACAATAAACAAATTTTTGAAAGAGGATAATATGGACCATGAAGATCTATACGAATATGAACTGGGGGAAAGCGAACAAGATGTTGAAATGGCCATTCAAAAAGGATACTCTTCTGCACAAGGCTATCATACCAATGGGGGAAACGAATATGCGAGCATCGAAAGCGGTACCATGGATGAGGACAGAAAAAGGAAAAGCGTAGATCTACAACACGAGGGACAGATGACCACAAAGAAGGAGGAAGAAGGAGGAAGAGAAAAAAAAGAGGAAAGCGTACAAGGGGAATGCCTGAAAAATGTCTCTGAAGATAAATATAGCACCCCAGAAGATGAAGAAACAAAGAGCGAAATCAGCGGAACGGACCAAAAAAGGACCTTCAACGATGATATTAAGAAGGGTGAGATCGACAAATCAAGATCCTTAACTAGCCAAGGCGATGTCGAACATTTCAATAGCCACACGGAAGATGACACAAAAGAAGAAGTAAGTGCTACGAATTTTAAGCAGAAAAATGACAGAAACAGAGGTGCCATCTTAAATGACAAAATTGAAACAGAGGAGGAAGGATTAACGCTGAAATATATTCGCGCCCTATTCGAAACACAATGTACAGAACAAGCAAATAAAGAAGAGGATAAAAAGGAACCAACACGAAATGGTTACACCATCCAGGATCAAAGCGCTATAAGAACCAACAACAACGATTGTGTGTATGTTGAGGATGAAGGAAAACTAGAGCGTTACGAAACTGAGCAGGAGAAATCTCCGAATAGGCATGAAGACAGAGAAGACGCAGATTTAACGTATAAACCGGAAACTCAAATCGAACCAAAGGGTAATGGCGAGGAACCAAAAGGGAACGAAATGGAAAAAGGAAATATACACAATGAGGACAACACCCAAGAGTGTAAACAGGAAAAAGATTCAAATGAATGCGAACAAGCTGTACAGGCTAAAAGCGGACATAATGGATGCATAGGTGAAACTTTAAATGAAGCGATTCTTGATGGAAATGAAACAAATGGAGAACTGAATAAAAATGAAAAAGACAGTGAAAGGGATTGTGGAAAGTGCAAAGGAAGTAAGAGAAACCTATCTGAAATGAACATACCAATTGGCCGTATCACCCCCGAAAATGATGATAAAAGCAGCAGCGACCAGCGTGTAAGTAAAAATGATGACATAAGAGAAAGTACAACTCGTAAAGGCACGGACACTCCGGGGGGGAATGATGGCATAACCCAAAATTGTTACGCTATTGTTAAAGCTGAATTCAATGAAAAGAACATATCTGACCCTACTCAAATGCTGAATGATGACAACGTTAACCAGGAAATTGCACATATAGATTCGAACAAAGTGACAAGCAGTGAAACAATAGCAGGCTATAATCCTCTCTGCATAGAAATAAACAAGAATGAGTTATTTAAGCAATTACATATCAAAGAAAATCGACTACGCTACATTAACTTCCTGTATCACTCATTCGACTATGATAAGGGAACAGTTAGCAAGGAAACAGGAAATGGACCACAAAATGAGCGACAAAACGGGGCATCAAATGAAGAAAAGAACGAAATTAGCGCCTGCAGTAGTAACGGCTTTAAAAAGGACAGAACAGAGAGTCACCCGCATAGAGAACACTTTGAAGAAAAGGTGAAGCAAATTTTTAACCCGACAGAACACCAAGACAAAGAAGTTCACCAGAGCAGTAGTAACATACAGAGCACAGGAAATACCACTAATAAGCCATTAAATGAAAAAATAGATAACCAAATCGAAGGCAATAAAGCTAGTGGCTCTAACATGTTACGCGAAAAGGAACAGGGCGGTGCAACTCTCGATAACGACAAAATTCTCCCAAACAGAGAAACTGAAAAGGTGAAAGAAAAAGATACCGAAACTGAAGATAAACATTGTGAAGTATCGGATGGAAAGAATAAGAAGCACCTCATTGACCAGAGCATTAACCACAGCACTGACGACACCGACGAAGACGCTGATGAGAACGACGAAGAGAAAAACATTTTGTACGAAGACATTAAAAGAAACCTATGGCTGCAAAATACGAATCTTTCTGAAAATAGAGTACAATACATCCAAGTTGAATCGGTGAAATGCATCATGTTGTTTTGCTATTTGTACAGAATAAAATATTTTCAAGGCATGCACGATATGATTATAAGTCTCTTTTATTTAAACCTTCAACCCTACGAAATTCTCTGCGTCTTTGATAAGTTGCTACATTACTATGCCCCCTATTTGTACCTACAAAATAGTTTCATGTATAGAACTCCACGAATTAATGCAAGAACACAGGCGGACACGATCAGTTCCGCCTTATCAAACATAACTATGCAAATATGTAACACTAATGGGAAATTATTTCGCCTTCTGTTTCAATATTTTTTCCCGTACGTCAGTTATTATGTCGATACGGCAGTCAGCGACACGTGGCCATCTTTATTTTTCCTTAACCTTAGCTTCAGCAAATTCGACAATGTGTTCTGCTTGCTATACTTATGGATGCGATTAATAAAAATGAAAAATCAAACGAGTGAAGTTACTTGTGATTTTATTCTTTTCATATTATCCTTCTGCATGTACAAATTGAGGATGGTAAAAAGGGAATTTTACGAAAAAAGAGGTCTAACGAGTATGTTTACGAATTCCAGATATGCACTGTCAAGCGAGGAGAAAAAATTGGATGAAAAATCTACACAGGGACAGACCGAAAATTATAGTCATGAAGTAATACAAGAAGTAGACAGGGGTAAAAACAATCGCAAAAAGGATGAACATAATGGAAGCGACGAAAGGCAGGCAATACATGAAGAAAGCGGCAAAGAGGCAGACAACCAAACTGATAATAACATTCACCATCCGATAAAGACAAACAAGAAGTGTACTCAAGAAGGGGAAGAAAAAGAAATTATTCGAAGAATAAAATTATCCACGTACAGCTCAGAAATGTTCTCTCTATTTTTTGAATTCAGTTCGTCCTTTGATGACCATTTTGGGGATAAATACAAAATGCACATAGACTGTATAATAAATGACATCCCCAAGATTAGAGACGTTATTCCTTCGAGCTTTTTACACTTCCTTACGCAATATAATTCGGCATACCAGAAGAAGAACAACAGGAACAGGAACAAGAACAGCCACAACGTGAAACAACTCGACGGGTACATGAAGAACCAAAAATTATCCAACAGCGTGACACCACCCCCGGATGACCAGTTATGCCTACATATAAAACTGTCAGATTTGTTTTCTATTCATAACAATGTAGAGGGATATGATTTTATTTTCCTACAATTAGTGAAGTGCGAAATAATTTTGAGCAAGTTGATATTGATTAATCCTCGTAACTTGGTCATAGAAAATTTTGCACGCTTTAAGAATGTAGACGAATTTGTCAACCATAAGAAAAAACTCCATATAGCGCGCAAGTGCAGAAGAACAATGTACATCGTGCTGTTATGTTCCCGAGAAAATAATACAAAATTCAAAGATTGGAACATCAACTCGAACGATAGGTATCTCCATAAACACAAGACAGACACTACAAGCAACGGAAAAAGTGGATCCAGTAACGTATATTCTAACAGAGTTTTTCTCAAAAGAAACAACAAGAAAAAATACATGTGCATCGAACATTATTGTGAATTCCCCATAGATAATGACTACCTGAGAAACCTCATAACAACAATGGTAAAAAACAATTTTAAGCGTTTATCTATACTGAAAGTACATCCAAAGGTGGTCAAAATAAGGAATAAGAAAAAAATAATAGAGAAGGAGACAACAGATCGTAATGCACCCGTAAAAGAAAATAGCTTTTTCTTTCATATGTTCAACATAGTGAAAAAAAAGATATACCCAAATATAGGAAGAGATACTGAACCCATGCAGAGTACCCCCCCTCAAAGCAATCAACCTCAAGATAACAATACAGAATTCGCCTTAAAGGGAAATAATTCTAAAATGTTCAATGACAGGAGGATGAGAAAAAGAATAAACTATAGCAGCAGAAAACCAGTTTTGTATTCAAAAAATGTTATGCAGAAAAACAAATATGAAACCCCCCCAAAAGAATTGATTAATGACCTCCCAAATGGTTCATCGGGCAAAATGCAAAATAAGGTAGACAAAAATATTCAGATGTTCCTCTTAAAATTTCGTAAACGTAATGAATCAAAGAGACTAGTACATGGTTTTAAGACCATTGGAAAAAGAATGAATTTAACTTTCGGATTATTTCATAAGCCCTATGTCGCCCCCGTTAAGCATCAATCAAATATGAGGAATATATGTGTGCATAGAACACGCACAAAACAGAGACAGAAGAAAAGCCTTTTCCGAACTTTAAGAAGAAGAGAAATAAATTTAGAAGAGAACAAACCACACAGCAATAAAACCTCGTTGCGCAACGAAACAGACACACAAGATAAAATTGGCACCGAAATGCACTTGTCCAAAAGGACTTACAACAAAGAAAAAAACTCTATTTTTATAAATAGGGGACAATTCGATAAGAATATTAGGGAAGGAGAAAGGAAAAATGCAAGTAAAGAAAAAAAAAACGACCCTCTGGAAGATGCAAGATAAGGTCTTTAACGATTTTTTATCAAAAAGGTTATTCCAAAAGGACAGAAACTCTTATGAGAAGAAATATGCGCACACAAAAGTAGATGCAAAAGCCTGTAAAAGGAATCTCTCCAAGGGTCCTGAATCGCATAGAAGTTAGGATAAATGAAAAATGCAACAAAATTTATTCCGCCTTCTCTTTCGCCTATTGGTAAACGTTGAGCCTGTTTATATCATTAATGTGAGAAGGAGATATAATATATTGTACCACCCGAATGATCACTTACCTGGTGACTCGGCTGCTCCCATTGTCGTGGAATGATTTGATAGAACGCATGCTGATCAAGGAGACAATAATAAAACTGCAACGAATAGACGTGCAAAATGAGGTGAAGTGCAGGCCTCTAGAAGAGTCACATAAAAGTGTGTATTTCTTCATCTTTTAGTCCCAGCTTCGCCCCCTTTTTATTTTGCAAAGGAGCTATGCCAATTTTTGAGCATTCAAGACTATAGAGGCTTAAACGTATAGAGAGAATAATGATGAATTTTCTTGTCAATCGAAGGGGAATGGATTTATTTTTCCCGTCCATCATTATTCCTTTACCGCATAAAATGTGTACATTATATGTTACTTTCTTTTTTTTTTGGGGGGCCTCCAGATCAGGTACCTTCCGGATTGTCCCTTTTAGTCATATTATTTTGTTTTATAAATATAGCGTCTTGGAACTGATCCTTAAAAAGGATGTCCAAATGTTATGGATGCTAACCTTTCTATTAACAAGCTTTCATGTTAATTATGATTTCCTTTGCCTGTATAATAGGTTTTTTTTTTTTGCTATTTGGTCCTAACATGTTCTTCCCCAAAAGGAGAAAAACATAACTACTGTAACATATGTTAAAATACTGATACTTTTTTCTACTAAAGGTATCAGCAAAACACGGAAACGTAAAACATGGTACAAATGCATAGGGTAACATTAGTTAATTCCTTTGAAAAGGGTTGCGAAATGCGCAAAATTTCTTATACCAAATGGTTTGCTCATTGGAATCAAAAAAAAAAAAAAAAACAAAAACAAAAGGTGTACATGGTAAACGGAGAACGGACGGTGACCAGTAGTGATCACATCTATCCTCCGTATGAACTACGTCCAACGGTGCGATAATTAATTATTGGGGATAACACCCCAAAATGAAGGCAAAAAAAAAAAATACTTCTTATGTAGAGGGAGGTGTACATGTAAGGAGATAATTGTACTCCTAACATAATTGCCCTTTCCGAGGAAAATTTCAAAAAACCCACTTCTTGAACTGCAAAAACTTAAACATAGAGATTGTTGAAAAGACAAAAGAGAAAAGAAACCACTGACAAGCATAATTAAAATGTGTTGTCTCATCCGCGTAAAATTTGAAATACTCCCTTTTCCTTTTATGTATAAGATGTTCATCGTATCGAAAAGGTTTTCCATTTCGAGGGGACATACTCGTTTCCTTCTTATCATTTGTGCCACCTCCGCAACTAGGACCCTTTTTCAAAAGACGCTTTATCCTTTCTTGACTCTCCCGATCCATGTCATCTAACGTAATGCCATTTACTTTGTTCAAATGAGAGTTCAGCAATTTGGTGCCCTCCTTACCGCAATTGGAATAATGATCCTTTATTAAATCACTATTATAATCTTCGTGAACAATTATATCATATATATTGGCAATGAAAAAAGAGGAGCCTTCGAAATGTGCAACATTTGCGTAGTGACAAATTTCCGCAATGTCATAATAGTAGAGATAATTGCTGTACACATTTTTGTTGGAAAGGATTTTTAATTTTCTAAACGAACATTCGTACAGTTCACCAGGATCTAATACACCCCTAATTGTCACTACTTTTGGAATTTCTTTCTGTTTTTCTTCTAACATGTCTTCAGATATTAATCCCCTATTTACTAGTATACACTTTCCATTTTTTAAAAATATGGGACAAATTACGTAATAATATTTTTTCTTTTTATCATATTCATACATTTTGGGTCCTACAAAAAATTCGTTAGTTGTGTCCAGTACTCCAGTTAGCTGCACTTTCCTATATTTGTACTTTTCAATTATAAGTTTTTTCAATTCTTCTTCTGTTACACCTTTTGGAAAAACTTTTCTGCAAAACTGGGTTACGAAGTTTTCGTTTCTTATTCGACTCACCCAATGATGTACACTATGAGCATTCTCCAAATCGACGATTAATCTGTTTCCCTCTTCATGCGCAAAATCACATTTTAATGGTTGTAGATCCTTCTCTTGTTCGTCCTTTTTTGGGATATCCTCTGTGCTTTTGTTACAACAGATTGACTTACTCCCTTCTGTAAACAGCTCATCTGGGTGTCCTTTTATCCTTTTATAAAATGATAGTGCCATGGGAACTATATTCAGCAAGTTAAAATTCCTGAGTAAATCGCCTTCCCTTTCGTGTCGCTGCAAAATTTCGTAATTCTTTTTAACAGCTAAGAAATCATCAAACCATGGGAAACCGGAGTCAGTAATGTTTATGACTGGTTGGCTCAAATTGTGCATAATGTAATCAATTAGAAATTTCTTCTTCCCCATTTTTTTGTATTGCCAAACACCCATGAAAAAACAGAAGGAACAAATAAAAGACGAATAGAAAAAAAAAAAGAGTCTTTCATTTTTTCTCAATCCGAATTTGCTATTACGAACACATCGAAAGATGGGGGAAGATACTTTGTTCTTTATATCGATAAGCCTTATAATTGTGCTGTTTTCACATTCTAAGGGTAAATAATATTGTCCTTCACTTCTTTTAATTAAATTTATTTCTTCTTCATTTGCTTTATAAAGTTTCTGACTTGGGTATTTAAAATGCGCTATGGAAATTTCCTTATCTTCATTTGTCACTATCCTTTTTTCATTAATTTTTTTTTCCACACTTTTTAATTCCTCATTTAACAGGTCTATTTCAACCTCGTATAGAGGGAATTTGTTTCGGGACCTCCCTCCAAACGGGGATATCCTCTTCCTCGATGTAACATTGTGTACCTTTTTTCCCTTCACGACATAGCGATATTTTCCGCTTCTCCAAAATGGCGATAGCTTCTTTCTGCGCTCTTTCCTAAACAGTCTATTGGCACACGTTATCCTTACATGGCGTGATTCAAAAAACGCGGGCCGGACACATTCTATATGCAGTTCGCAAACACCCCGTGTGCGCATAAAAAGGGTGCTGTTCAACTTGAGAATTAGTCCTTTTACATTCAGCGCATTATTTAAAAAAGGCATTCTATTATGTCGACTCGGAAGCAGAAATTAGGGGTTGCGCCAAATGCGTGGAGGGTATAGATGTGTCCCCTGCGTGTGGGTCGCTTCTGAGGTACGTTACACATACGTGGTTGGTATACAACTTATTCATGCGAAGTGTATATTATGCACATGCTTCACCCTTGCCATGGGCAAAGACGCTGATGGATCATTTCCTGGTGAAATCGTTAAACTTACTCCTCACCTCATTGTATATTTCATACGTTTTGATCGCAAACCTGTGAAATGTTTCGCTTCTTAACAAAAAAGATTTTATTTTCTCTTCAATTAATTTACCACCGATATCGTTGAAGAAAAATGGGAACCTTTTCATGATGCAGAAGGGGAAGAAAACGAAAAATGTAGCAAAATGAAGTTATGTATACACGCTGCCGCAAAATGAACTGAGGGAAATGAAGGAACTTTTTATGCTAAATGGGGCTTCAAGATTTTGTAAATTTGAAAAAAAAAAATAGCGCTGCATGATTTGAAAAAGATTAACATTATCGTGTTAAACTAAAAACAAAATAGTTGAAATTGTTCTCATTTTAAATGAATTTCGTGTTAACGTAAGAATGAAGAATATGCGATTTGGTAGTTAAACCCATTGTTATTTACGCGCAAGGCTTTTTTTTTTTATTTTTTTTTTTTTTTTTATTACGCGTATGACGGAAATGCTATAATAGGATTTACATATTAATGTGCATATAATGGCAGGCCATATCCCACCCTGCGCACTTGAAGTTGCATGATTAATTTAAGCAGTTAACTGCGCTCACTTCAATACAACACAAAACTGCAACTTTCGCCAAAAATAACAATATCTCCCTTTTTGCACAAAAAAAATTTTTTCTTTTTTTTTTTTGCAGCGAACAATGTGGTAGCAAAAGTAAACACTTCAATTTTTGTTGCAAAAAATTTATTTGAACTCGGCGTTTTGAATCTTTTTTTTTTTTTTTTAAACACATTTGCCATTTTATAACTTCTGCATTTACCATATATCATTTATCCTTTATACACCCACTTTTTAGACAATCCCACTTTTTCCCTAATTTGCGCAATTTTAATTGTGTCCATAAATGAGTTATGTGTAGTTGTGTAAACATTAACGTACACATTTGCACATTAAAAAAATACCTTCCTATGTATCTTTCATTTCTGCACATTTTTGTTTAATTTTTTGAATTTTCCCCTCATTACGTGAGGTCTGAAGTTGATTCGTTTTCCGCGCCAACCGATACACTATAATCCATAGGCAGCTTTTTCTGTATGATAAAAAATAAAGCGCATGCGCACGTACGTATATGTCACTTCCTTCTTCATGATGTTCAATTTGTTTGCCTGATTACACCGTCGTTTTAACGACGATATAAAACAATTCACCCCTTTTGATTGATTACCCTTTTCGCAACTTCCCCCCCTTCTTAAGCGCAAAAATACAAAATGGAAAATAAAAAAATTGCAATGGCAACAATTAACGATATCGAAACGGACAAAAATGTAGACGCGCTAAGCATGATTACAAAAATCGATTTGAAATTAACGAATGGGAAAAATGGAAATTCCACAAAAATAAGAAACATAGACTTTGAGGACTCACTAAGAATGAATGACGAAGAAATAAAAGTCAAAGAAGCTGTTTTCATCCTGCACAACATGGAAAACTTCAATTATTCAATTAGTTACACGGAAGTTCAGGACATAAGAAATGATTTAAGACTGTTTGCCATTAACAACTATCATGAAAAGAAGTACACAGATTGTTTGATACAATCTATTCACTCATACATGATAGCAAAAAAATATTATTCCAAATACTTTGGCTTCTACATCACGGGAGACATGAGCACAGAGTTAATTTTAATTTGCAAGTGCTATGCATTAGTGGAAAAATTTTCCGAAGGAAAAAAATATTTACATGAATTAAAATTCCTAATTGATAATACTCTCTTTTACATACACAAAAAGGGGGTTCTTGATGACGAGCAACAGAAGAAGGTGGAACAGGTCAACAGTGCCAGCAGGGCCAAAAATTTAGATTCCAACTATCAAGAACCAGTTATTCTCTGTGGAACGGAGGTTTTGTCAAACATACTCTACATTGTTGCAGATCTATTAAGTTTATATAAACAAAATGAGGAAGCAGAAAGCTATTACTTGAAATACCTCCTTCTGATAGAAAAATGTTTCAAGGCGGATAGTCTAAATTATAGCGATGCTCTAAATGATGTTTGCTCCTACTATATAAAAATTAGGGACTACTCCAAAGCTTTACCCCTTTGTGAACAGATTCTCGAAATAAGAAAAAAATTCTTTGGTGATTACAATTCCGAAAATCCAAATGAAGTAATTGCTGACTGTTACTGTAACTGGGGGCTACTGCTTCGATTATCAGGAAACGCCGTGGAATCCCTACACAAGTATCTAATCGCAGTTGATATGAGAATGAGGATCCATAAAACAAGACAAACTATCCAAGTGCAGGACATTCTACTTTCCTTCGCCATTATCATGCAACAACTAAACAACTTCAGGATGTCCCTACAGCTGTACAAGGAGGTTTATTCATTTTACAAAAGTTACTACGGCCCAGATGATATGAACACGAAAGTTGTTTTCAAATTAATTGAAGAATTACAGAAGGATATTATCAAAGAAAACACCAAGGGTGAAAAAAAGGTATCATTCCCCCATGTGGAAAATTGCTTAGCAAGTATGAATGACAAACTCAGGGGAGACAATGAAATGGAAAAAAAGTGGAAGGGTTTTAACAGCAAATTGCAGAATATGTCCAAAGTGTCATGCCTGGCCCCCAACCTGATTGAGGATCTAATGAATGAACGAGTGATAATCAACACGAGAAACATGCCCTCTAAAAATTTCAGTAATAAAAAAACGTTTATATCAATGGAAGGAAAATTAAAATATAATGATTTAAACTACTCTAGTATTGATGCATATAAACACATGCAATCAAATAAACAATTCGAAATTTTTAAAAGCTCGTTTTTTACTATTTCCTCCATTAACAGAATTAAGTCGTTATATGCGGACTCATGGGAGAGTACCCTAATTCCGTCTACTTATATATTACCCTTTGTTGAAACCAAGTTAGTTGACAACAATTTGATGAAATATGCCCAGTGCAAGGATTTTCAAAATGCCATTATTAACAAGAGGAAAATTCTACCCATAGTTAATATACCCCTAATAGAAAGAGGATACGTGAAACTGGAAAACGATCAACCGATTATGATTTGCAACGATGACGCTAAAGTTCTGCTTAGCGAATGGAACATTAAAGAACCATTTGTAGATTCCAAGGGAAAAATAATTAACAAATATGAACATCTAGACAACGAATTTAATATGTTCATATCCATTTTAGATGAAAATAATGAAGTTATGCTTGGTTTTTACAACAACCCTTTGCTTGTGCCAAACCCTGCCATATATCACTGCCTCATTTTGGGAGACCCATACTATTTTCACAGATACAATCAGGCTAACAATTTGTACTCCTTCGACAATTTAGACATGTTAAATAAGAAACTTCTCAACAAGAAATTCTTTCGACCCGATAAGACAAACGGTTTAAACTTGAATGCAAGTAATAACAATTTAGATTATTCTACGAAATATGGGGAGAACAAAATTGGAAGCATGAAACCATTCGGATTCAGGGCCAAAAATGGCTCTTTCCAAATTACGCCGAAAAAAATCAGGGGAAGGAAAAGTAGCACAAATGGTGATGCGGCGAGTAGACAGGGGGACGCTACGCCGGATGAAACGCGGGACAGAAGCAAGTCCAAGCATCTCGTGAAAGGGAAAAAAGTAGAAAACGGCGGAGAAAAGAGCGAAGTAAAAAAGGACTATAGAAGGGATGGTCAAAAGGGTGACAAAGAGGATGATGACCATAAGGATAACGAGGACATCTACGTAGGGAGCGACAAAAAGGAATCAAAGAAGGAATCAGGCAGAGAATCGCGCCGGGAAACCATGAAGCAGACCCAGGACCAGTCAAGGAGCAGTGGCAGAAGCGAAGTGGATGAACTGAACAAGCTGATGAAGAAAATGATGTCTAAAGAGGAAAGACAAGTAACAAAAACGTCTAACATCTTTGGTGATCCTAAACCTGAACCAAAAAAAATAGTGCCAATTAAGAAAGTGCACATTCTAAAGGGCAAAAATAATCATTCCTCCGGACTATTTTCAAAAGAAAAATATTCATTAAAGAGTACCGGCAAATTCAGCAAATTGTTTCCGAAGGCTAGAGAAAAAATAAAGTTAATTGGCTATAGCAATTCGAACCAACACGATAAATTAGAAAAAACGTTAAGAAAAATTCGATTAAATAAGGAACCCATCCTCAAGGCATCGATTGATCATAATATCAGAATGGATCTTCAAGGTAACATGAACAACATGGAACGACCCGACATAGACAATTTGAAGAGAGAAATATATTATGAAAATACACACTCCAGTAGTCACACCAATTCGGATGATTCTTCCTCAGGCAATGACAGCGGAAGGCTGTTTAGCTATAAGGAATATCATAAGTACAAAAGAAAGGAGGAAAAATCGTCAACCAAGCTTTCTAAAGGAAGTACTAGTATTGGTGAAGAGAGCAACTCTCTTAACGAAAGTGACGATAATGTGGAAAGTTTCAGTGACTTCACCGAAGGTAGTAGTAACCAAGGCGCCAGCCATAGAAAGGGGAGTCATTACGGTAAGACATTTTACACGAAGGACAGGAGAAATGATGAAGACGAAGACATTATCGATATAGGTAAAATTCTTGATGTTAACCAGTCGTATGAAAGGTCAAGCCAGTACTCTAATGCGAATTCGTTAACAAGTAAAAAAGGGAGTCAGGAAGGAAGCACATCAAGTTATGGCATCAACCATAGGAATAATCGAGCGGGACAACGAAGCGACACAAATAAGAGCCCCTTAATTTCTGAGAAGAACAACGTTAGTGAAATGTTCTCCTCTAACGGTAGCGGCAAATCGAATGGACACACGATATACGAGAAGGATTGTAAAAAAGAAAGTGCCGATTTGACGGACGATCCAACCGGAGGACCGAACATACTCAGTAAAAGGAGCGCATTCTACATCAATGACAAAATAAACGAGATAAAAAACGTAAACAAGAGTGACATTCTGTTTAAATTTAGATTAAATCACGAAGGTTCATTAAGTAACAAAAATGTATTTTCCGATAGCGACATAAGCGAGAGCGAACTGTATGCAAATCCGTTTGGAAGTGCACAGGCCAGCGCTACCAAGTGGCAATCCAATGGCAGTGAAACTACGGAAGATGGACACTCTTGGGAGTATTCATCTTTCCATAAGGAAAACAGACAAGTAGGAAGCTCACCAAACGATGAAGATAATAAAATAAACACCCTCTCTGTGCAGGGAAATTTATTTGCCAATAATAAGAACAAAGGATTCCTTAAAGATAACGAACATACTGGGGTGAACAAAACAGCAGAAGAAATTGTCCTCAGTGAGAATGAAGAATTTTACGAGGAAATAATTTTCAAAGAGGAAAAGATAGATGCAGAGGATGCAGAAGATACAGAAATTGCAGATAGGTCTGAAACTGAAAAGAGTGATCATATGAAATACAAGAATGGTGAAGAGCATTCAAATGTGGGTTATCAAAACGGATACTTTAATAAAATGTATCAGGATAGCCAACCATACCAGCAAGATGAAGAAACGTCCTCAGACACGCAAAAGAACGAAATAGCTGGTATGGATAAAGAAAGCTTCACAGATAATTTATACTTGAGGAGTAACTCCATAGAAGAACTAGATTCCAATTTGATTACCCACAAGTACAGAAGCAATAATACAGAAAAGGAACCTTCAAAGGAGGAGTCTTTGAACGAAAGGAATAACATCCCAACTGATTTGTTAAATCACGAAATGGATAACACACCCAGAACCAAGTCGTACAAAAAAAGTAAAGGGAAAAAATTATTATCAAATAAAAAACACCTGTCTGAGAACGAAGCAGACATATCGTTAAGCAATTGCCCTGATGCGTATTCAAGGAAAAATGACAGTGGAAATATAGTGTGTTACCGCCCCCATGATGATAAGAAGCACACTAAAAGGGAAAATACGAATCACAACCATGTCATAGGAACAGAATTATGCGCCAGTTTATCCAATAGCACTCTACATACCGTACGCGCCGTGCATAGTGATAATAACGTCACCGAAGAATGTGATATAAATTATGATTACTCATTTTATTCAAACGTAGGAAGCCATCATAATAGCAATATGATGAAGGCAAAAGAAGAAAAAAAAAAAAAAACGGCAAACTTCCTACACCCCAATAAAAGAACAAAATTTTCTAAACTGTTTTCTTTTTTCTCTAAAAAGAAGAAAAAAAAGGAACTCGCAAAATCGAATACGTCCAGTGGTGAACCCTACCCCAGCAAACATTCCACTCTGAATGAAGAAGATAAGGAAACGTTTTTCCCAAGGAATCCCTTCAGTGATATATCAATAGACAAAACAAACGAGATGGATGTAAGTCTAATAAATAATGCCAAACTAAGGAGCGGAAAAAAAAAACGCCTTTTTGTGTCAGAACCGCTACACGGAATGGACAAACCGAAGCTCGGTATCAAATCGAAAGGATTGGGGTTAAAAAAAATGTTGATGATGAAAAAGGGGATTTTTAGCAAGAAAAGTGCAATTGAGAAGAAGGAATCGCTGTCTAAGAATAATGAAGGGAGCGCGTTGGAAGAAAAGGGGAAAGCACCCCTTGTTAAGGAGTTAACCAAAGAAGATCCAGGCAGTGGTGAACCGGGTAATGCGGGTGATGCGAACGATGCGTCGGAAACGTCCAAATTGTCTGGAGCCTCCAAAGCGCCTGAACCTTCTGGCGAACCAAACACTAAGGACCAAGCGAGCGAAGAAGCGAACGTCACAGAACCCCCCACCAAAGAAACAGAAGCCAAGGACAAATCTGTGACGAAAAAAAACTCAAGAGAAATGACCAGTGATGACGAACCAAACGAAAAAAAAAATAAAACGTCAGAAAAGGTGGAAAATACATTCCCGAAGAAAATGACCCCACTAAGTGTTTCCAAAAAATTAATGGTAAAAAAAATAGTGCCCGAAAATATGGAAAATAAAGCAATTATTATAAAAGACAAAAGTACCATCAAAGAAAGCGTGGATGATAAATATGAAGTAAGAACAGTGAAAAACATAAATGACAAACTACCATTCGATGTTTTGAGAAAAGTAAAATATTGCAAGATTGGATTTGAACCAGACGAGACATTGGGCACCCTCCCCACAGTTCATTTACTAAATGAAGATAAAATTCTTCTAGCTATCGTCCCCTGGCAACTGGACCTAACTTCCTTTTCGTTGGCAAAATCATCAGTCGAAGAAGAAACGATCAAAAAAATAGGATTAATGCATAGAGAATTCGACTTATCCATTGAAGAAAGGAAAAATCAAGTACAAAATGAGAATCGCCTCTTAACAGGAGAAGGGTTAAAGGAACTCGGTCTCACCTCCACACCTAGTAAAGCGGCGGTTCCTAGCATAAACCTCCTTGAGGGAATAGATATGAATGCGCTAAAAAATGCCTACAAAATAGAGAAAAAGAGTGAACCAAAGGAAAGGACATCCGCGCCGAAAAAAGAAGCACCAAAAATGGCGACGAAAGGAAAAGGAGGACCCAAATTTATGAAGGGACCCCCGAAAGGATTGAAAGGAGGACCTGTTATAGGAAAGGGTAAAATATCCAAAATGAAGCAAGCAAAGGATGAAGGAAAAACCAAGAGATTCTTCTGGGAAGCCCTATTCGAAGATGACATTCCAGGAACGTTATTTGAAGACAAAAAGGAATTAATATCCAAGATAGCCATAGAAAAAGAAAGTGTAGAGAAATCATTTGCCAAAGCTGTTAGTAAAACGGAAGTAGGAGAACTCAAAATTAAAAAACCAAAAGTTATTCAACTATTGCCTGATTCGAAGAGAGAATACAATATGTCCATTGCCCTATCCAAATTTAATAATTACACATTCAAAGAAATAAGGGATGCTATCATGGATCTAAATCCAAAAATACTTACCATTGACAACACAGAAGTTTTAATGCAGTACGTACCCACAGCAGAAGAATTCGAAATTGTTAAGGAGTACATACTCTCAAATGGTGACTTGAACTTAGTGGACAAGCCAGAACAGTATGTTGCCGCACTTATGGGAGTGCCCCTACTAAAGCAGAGATTGGAGTCCCATTATTTCGCTCTATCATTTAAAGAAAATTACGAAAATACTTTAACTCCGCTGGAAAATATCCTAGAATCATGCGAAGCGGTAAAAAATTCGACAAAACTTTTCACCATTTTGTTTACCATATTAAATGTTGGTAACACATTAAACTATGGAGATCCTCAAAGGGGAAATGCCTTTGGTTTTAAACTAACAACGTTGCCTAAACTAAATGATATACGATCAACTACCAAGCCGGTTAAAACGCTTCTTCAATATATTTGTGAAATTATCTATCAAAAGAGTGCAGACACTTTAGAAATTATAGAAGAGTTCAGATCCATCGAAAAAGTCACCAGAACGGACAAACAGATAATCGATTCTCTTTTGCAGAAACTAAAATTGGGATCTACTAAAATTAAAAACGTGTTAGATCTAGCTAAAAAGAATCCAGATGATCCATTATATGAAGCACTCAAAGAATTTTATTTTAGTGTAGAACCAAAAATTGAAGAATTAGATACTTTTTACAATCAAACCTTTGATGTGTTCAAAGAAATTGCTCTCTACTTAGGGTATAAAGAAAAAGAAGTTGTCAACATACAAGTACAAGATTTTTTTAAAGAATTGTGGAAATTTATCCAGTCAATTGAATTTAACAGAAAAACAATTAACGAGACAACTCTCAAGGAGCTCAAGAAAAAAGAAAAAGAACTGGAAAATGTCAAGAAGGGAGCCGTCCTCAGTAAAAAACAAAATTTCACCATCGTTAAGAAGCAAGAGAAGGAGACAAAGACGCAGCAGGAAAAAAAAACCTTCAAGATATTTTAATGTAAATGTACTCTGAAGAGTGTACAGTGTAACTCGTCTGCACAAAATGGGTGATCCCATTGGAATTTTGCCTGCCTTATCCGAAGAAAAGCGTTTTTCCTTCATTTTGGTTAATCGCATAGTTAATGCATTTTTGCACATGTGTATCATGTATATGTGTGCAAATGCTTCTTTTGGCGCCAATTTATCCGCCCAGTCCTCCGTGCACACCGATTAGTGCATCCCCTTTTTGAAACACCTTTGTGTGGAAATCGTGTCACCATAAGAGAACAACCGCCCATTGTCAAGCATGGCGAAAAAAAAATGTAATTTTTTTTTTTTTTTCCAATTTTGCTCCGATTTAGTTAAACAATGTAGACGAAAACAAACAGATAGCACAATATTTTACAACTTAGTCA